GCTGAGCTAAATCCCCAGCCCCCCATATCATATAATGTTAATGAAACACTGAAATTGCTAATATTAGCTTGGCATAAGTATAATCATACAGTTCATTATAAAAGACATGGAAGAAATCTTAAGTAAAAAATCAGTAATGCCTCTTCAGCTCTTTCTGATCCCTATTCTGTGCTCCAACTGTTTCCCCTGGAAAATGAGCACATTTACAGAGAAAAATCTCTGAAGTGAGATGATATACCTTACACCTGCATATACTGGGGAACTTAATATCTCTAAAATGCCTTTCACCCAACTCTCCATTTATTCTTTTATGAGCAGCTTTATTAGAGCAACTCTGCTAATAATAATGTGCAGGAGGAGCATATTTGGCAAGAATAAAGGCATCTTTGTAGAGAAGGCAGCACCTGCACATAATGCCTGCTTGAGTCTTTCTCATTTATGGCTCATCTGAGCACTTTCTGATTGAATAAACAGTCTGCTGTGAAAATGCAGGGTTCATCTAAACATGAAACCTTGTAGAGAAGATACACATTCCCAGGATGTGGGAACTCAGTATGAAGGATGCAGGCTTTTTCCCTGAGCACTGATTGTTAAGAGAAAGGAAAAAATTTCAAATCCAAAGAAACAGGCCAATTTAGAAATACAAAGTTAGCTAATTTTATTGTAAACAACAGTAACAATACCTTTAACATACAGGTAACCAGGATTTGTGTATGAACTCTAATAGGGTTTAGCTGTTTTATGTAGAATTAGAGATACAGTTGTTATAAATATCCTGCTGTTGGTTATCAAATAAGATACTAAATTTTCATCAGTAGATTCACCATTACTCTGATGCTCTGTTCACCATTCATTGTGAACATATTCTGGTACTGCCTCTTACAATGTATCAAACACGTCATTAGTTATATTCCTTAGCATTCCTCAGTGAAGTTAGATCATTTTACCTCCCCACAATATTCAATGTATCTCATACCAAAACCCAATAAACTTTAAAAATATATTACAGTTAGTTGTAGAATTATATACAGCAAAGTTCCAAGGAAAGAATAATGAAGAAACTTTTGGAGAACAAATTTAGAAAAGTTACCTGATTAAGATTCCCTGAGGGCTAGTCCCTAAAATAGTAATAAAGACAGTATGGGTAGTCAAATAGACCAAGGGTAAAAGTCAATCCAAAAACACAACCATCTGTAGATACTTGAATTATGGCAAAGATGCCAATCAGTCTAAAGCAGTGGGAGGAAAGCAAGTCAATTATCTGAGTAAAATAGTAAGATCTGAACATCCCATCCATTCATAAAATCAATTCCAGGTGAAAGTCTGCAGGGTCTTTTTTCTTCATACTATCATGTCTCTGCCACCAAACAACCTGGCTAAAAAGGCACCAAGGAGTAAATGTTGCTCGTGTGATCTAAGACACAGAAGTATGAGAAAACAAGTGCTTACTTATTTCATACACTCTTTGAAGATACCTCCCTTATTTTTAGCTGGAAATCAACCCAACATTCATATCTCCAAAACAATCCAACTGACCAAATGTGGACATTTTTGCCCAGCTCACTAGTCACACAGTTAAGGATTATCATTTTACTATCTTTATATTTCGAGGCTACTCATGAACACTGAAAATTAGCTGTGTTAGGTTTAAAGACAATTTTAAAGCAGAGAGAAATGTTAGGAGGAAATCTTCAAATTAAAAGTTGGCTGGCATGTGAGCAATCTCAATCTTTCTCTCCCCCCTCCCTCTCTTTCTTTGCCCCTCTCTTTTCTTTCCTCCCTCTTGTGCTCTCCATCCCAACCTGATCAACGTGAGGACTTGGGCTATTAAGTTAAAACTCCCATAGAGGTAGACATGGTAGTTATATTGTGCCATGATCTATTGCTGGCAGAGAGCATCTTCTCTGCATATCCTCTATACTGAGTAGTAGCAAGCAAATCTGGAATAAGTGGTTGTAGGAAATAGGTCAGTGCTCAGGCCATTCTGTTAGATAAATACTTTGAATGTCACCCACAGATGCCTAGGTAACTCAGCAATATGCAGAGAGGAAAGCTCAAGTGAGGCAATGACTGACAGAAGCTAAGATGGAAGAGAACCAGCCTCCCAAATATGGAAAATAACCCTCATTCTTGATCGTTCCTCTGACTGCTTCCCTCTGCCAGAGACCTACATGTGTAGCAGGCATGCCCTTGGACTTCTGACTACCATCCACCCTCTCCTTGAGCTGCATAAGGAACACTGTGCCTTACCTCCCTGAAGACACATCAGCTAGAATAGAAAATTAATGAAATTAAAAATGACTAAATTCTTCAGAATTTCTCAAATATCTACTCTTACATTTTCCATACTTCTTACTCAATCTTCATTAAAGTTAATAATTGTAAAATGATGACTCTTAGACACAGATAGGAAGAATGCCTTGTGCACTACTGGGGAAGGCTGAAGACCTCAGCTCACTTCCAGGACACTTTGTCCCCTGCCTGATAAATGCCCATGCCCCACCCCCAACCCTGCCATCATGGATTAGCCCTCAGTAAGGAATTTCATATCTCTTCCATTACCCATAAATCCCTCATGAAAAGGATCTGACTTTTCTGCTCTAGGAGGTCAAATCTGACACATGTATTTTTTATTTTTGTCTTGGCAAATAGTGATTGTTATCACCCTAACCAGGAAATAGAAGCTGGAAAAAAAACCCTTGAAACTTATCCCACTGTGCCTTAGTGGGGCTCACAGTGGTAACAAGTGATACAGGGACCCTTGCTGTGAGGTAAACTTGCATGGGCTCCCTGGATCACTAGTTACCTCAGAGACTTTCATATATGAGTGTGGCTCCCATAGCCCTGAAGACATAGCTGCTTACTAATGTGCAAAGCCAGGAGTTTCAAAGCAAAGATAATGAGCTCCCAGTCCTTCCTGTGACTGTTTCACCACAATTATAGTGTGTGGAACACAGAGCCCCAAACTGGCTACTAAATTACGGGATATGGTTGGAAATTAATTCAGAGATTCTGGCATTTTCTTTACAACTTCCTTTCCTAGAAAGAAAAGTGAAAGGAGATGTGTTTTCTCCTCTTTCCAACAAAACATATGCTTCCCTGATTAGGAGTGTGAAATGCTCCCTGAACCAATCAGGTCACCCTTCACAGATTGCTCAATAATCCAGTGGAGGACAGAAAGCCAGTGGGCTAGGAGAAAGGTTCTCAGTGACTGAGCAGTAAAGATCTTTCATTGTGAACATGCCTTCAATAACTACTCTTGGTATATGGGATGATGGAACATGGCTCTGGGATCAGTGCAAAATCTTAGGATCTTTCTCCCTCTAGTCAGTACTGGTGAGACAGAGAGCTCTTATTCACCCACAGTCTTATTTACTGAGAAATAGCTGGCTAGTGCACACCATGGACACAGTGAGACAGAGTTGAGAAATCTGCTTGGAAACATGTACAGCAATTTGACTCTTTCTCATTACCATCTTTCTCATTGCAATCTGTGCTTTCAAGGGAAACTGGATACTCCTGACAGCTGGCTGAAATATTTTTATGCACGCTCACTGGCTCTCTACTCATGCTCAGGGAACCTGTCCCTATCCTGGACAGCTCACACAATCAGATATCTTATTAAACAATGTGAGACCCTTGCCAATCTTGAATTTCCCCTTCTCCAACTCAATCCCATCTTAGACTGAGAAATCAGCACTCAACACAAGAATCCACTTCTCAACTTTTTCTTCTTTTACCTGTTCTTTTTGACTTTCTGTTATTTGAGACCTTATAAAGAGAATATGAATGTGGAATGAGTGAAAGTTAGGAAGTTAGAAAGTCAAGTGCAAGAAAGTCTCACTCATGTGCTACTTAGCAATCTGACCTCAGAAGTGCATACTGCTGCCTCTCTCTACTATTAGGGACCATAGGGACTCACTTTTATATCCCCTCTGGAATAAACAAAGCTCTAGTCCACAGGCCTCTATTGCTTCCTGAATGTCTGCAATAGGTTATCAGACCCCGTCTCTTTTTCTAGATCATTTGTCACCAGAGGTCTATGTCCTGCTCTCTGGCTCTTTCCCATAGCCTCCCATCAGGAAGACAGCTATCCAACCCCATAATCCACTTACCTTCTGTTATATCCAGGTGTTCCTCCAAAGCCTCATACAGTCATAGATGGAAAGTTTCAAAGGTAGCTGAATTAGAATGTGTGAATGTGTATAAATGCAGGATGCTGGGATTAAGGCTGCCCCACACTGAGGGAAGTGGGATAGCACTAATCAATACACTTGCAGCCTGAATAGAGTATAAAGCAAGAGAAAGAAGGCCTTCTGCTGCTACCTTCTCCTTTTGCTGCTTCCTGCGTTCCATGTAATGAACTGTTGTTTCTCCTCTGTGATGCTCCTCTGCCATGCCACCCTGCTTTAGAGCCAGTTTACTGTGGACTAAAACCTCTACAAGTTGTGAGCCAAAACAAACCTTTCCTTCTTTAACTTTGGGTGCTGGGTATTATTTCTCAGCAATAAGAAAAGTAACTAAGATACTTTCCAAGCACATGAAGTTTTGGGGGCCATTTTAGAACTAAATCATAACATTCTGCCCCAGAAAGCTCATTCTCATCTCTTCATAAAAAATGCATTTAGTCTATCTTTAGGAGTGGCTAAAGTCTTAACAGTTCCAGCATTTC